ATGTTTGTATAGTTAGATGCATTGAGTTTAAGTGTACTTTATGCACACGAAATGCAAAAGATATAGATATTGAAACGGGAGTTAGTTTGCATGGTCCAAAGTTCCTTTTTACACATCAGGCCCGGAGAATGTGACCACAGTAAAGAAAACGCAATATCTGATAATCTTTTTATTTGATGTCCTTGTTTTATTGCAAATAAACTTATGTAGGCTATATCTTTTCGGTGTGAGCTAACTACGGAGGAGGATTAGGTCCACTGAAAAAAAAAATCAAGTTAACTGATTTTAAAATATTTCAATTTAATATGGGAAAATGTCAGAATTCTGACTTTAATCTTAGAATTCTGACTTTAATCTAAGAATTCTGACTTTAATCTAAGAATTCTGACTTTAATCTAAGAATTCTGACTTTAATCTCAGAATTCTGACTTTAATCTAAGAATTCTGACTTTAATCTAAGAATTCTGACTTTAATCTAAGAATTCTGACTTTTCCCCCATATTAAACTGAAATATATAAAAAAAAATCAAATAACTTTTTTTTTCAGTGTCCCTAATCCTCTTCTGTAGCTAACCCAGTCATGCATGATAATTAAATTGCATGTCTCCAGTGTTTTGCAGTATGGAGGGGGAGTCCTTTTCAGCCCTGTGTACCCCTGCTTTGGTGGTCGATGTGGACAAAGTGAAGAGAAACGCACAAAGGATGATCGAGCGCTGCCACAAACTGGGAGTCCAACTCCGACCGCACATGAAGACCCATAAAACCCTGTATGGATGCAGCTGATGTCCCTATCAGGCTGCATATGAGAGAAGCTGAATTGTTCTGTGTTTGGGTTTCTCTGCAGTGAATGTGCGGACATCATGACAGGTGGATCGAGACGGTGCATAGTGGTCTCCACCTTGGCAGAGGCCAGTTTCTATGCTGAGCACGGCTTTGATGACATCCTATATGCATACTCTCTTCCCTTTGACAAGGTACTCTAACATGACTCTCTTTAAAGCAGGCATCCCCAAACTCGGTCCTCGAGGGCCGCTGTCCTGCAGGTTTTAGAGGTTTCCCTGTTTAAGCACAGCTGATTATGATGATTGCAGTAGAGCAAAAGCCTGTTAATCAACTATCAATTAAAATCAGCTGTGCTGGAGCAGAGAAACATCTAAAACCTGAAGGACAGCGGCCCTCGAGGACCGAGTTTGGGGATGCCTGCTTTAAAGCATGACACAGTGTAACATATGTATGGACAGCACATAAATATAATGTCATGCAAAAATATATCTACCCCCAATCTCCATATTTGTCCATGTTGCACCCGCAAACCTCCATAAATGTTTAGAATATACGCGATATTATGACACAAAAAACTTCATTATTAAAAAAAAAATGAATATAGAGATCTAGTATCTCTCTAAGGTGCACATATCCCTTGTAAAATGGAAATATGACAGAATTCTGTTATGATATATATATATATATATATATATATATATATATATATATATATATATATATATATATATATATATACATACATATAATCTTAAACATCTGTACTACTTTGTGTAAATATGCCAAGACCCATTAGGCCTATGGTAACTACAGGAGCTGCAGAGATCCCAACCTCATGTGTCAGAATGACTGCTACTGTAGAATTGGGCTCCACACAAATCTGTCATGGGTTAGGGATTCCTCGCGTTTATATTTATAGAAGGACCAAAACTGTAATTTTATCTTAAATCCAATCCTTAATGCCTAATAGTAGTGTCAAAAGTACACACGTTACTTAAGTAGAAGTATAGATACTGCAGTTTAAAAATACTGTGGTAAAAGTTGAAGTATCAACTTGACCTCTTTACTCAAGTAAAAGTGAAAAAGTATGTGCAGATGTCTCGGGGACAGTGATTTCCTTGCATGTTATGAATGCTGGCGTACCATAAAGAATAAATTATGAAGGGTTTAGTTTGTGCCTTCAACTCGTTGCCCCATAGGAAGACGCTACTTGGATA